TCACTTTGGTCAATTCCACTCCATTGATAATAATAAGTCTTATAATCTGCTAATGTCATGGAGACTTAGTTCCTTGTGCTCCAGCAGGTACAGTGTGACCTTTAGCGTTAGGAGGTGACGTCATGTGACACCTGATCACACACACAGGTCAGACGCAGAGACAGGCGTGGGCTCTACACCTCTGAGGACAGGCTCCAGTCCACAGGGAGGGGCGAGGGGGGAGAGGAAGTGAAACATGAACTCCACACACAATCAAAGCTCTGAATGAACAACGGGTCCAAAGGTTAGGACCAACAGTAATCCAGGGGCCCTCAGGGGACCTTATAAGAGACCATTCGAAAGTCTGGTAAATTGTCTTGCAAAGTGTCATCAAAATGAATTGGAGTTTATGTAGCGTTTGGAGATGTGTTTATTTCAGGGATGCATGTGAAACAAAGCAGCTCATTGGTCATTTATTACTTTGAACAAAATGTAAACGGGCGTATTTGTTTTGATGTAGATGGACCGTGCATGTTGCACAGCAGGATTTTTGCAATAGTGGCATGTGCGCGATAAGACCCGGACTCTGGTGGCGACTAATCACATTGCAATAATTGAAATATTGTGATATCGCGTCATGAAATGTCTCACAATAATATCGTGAGCTGTCGCAATAAATCGAATCTCAAGTCTCTTTGCTTAAAGTCATTGTTTATGGTGCAGCAACAGCAAAAAAAATAGTGAAAACTACATCGACCATGATCCTTTGCTCTGTTTCATTCCAATCTACATGCTGAAATAAATTATGAAGCACTTTAAAATCATAATTTCTGGGATTTTTGGATGACGAGAGAAAATATCGTAACGTGGGATGGATATCGTGAGAATATCGTATCGAGAGATTTGGATATCGTTACATCCCTACATCGCAGTTCTAAGTTGGGAGGAAGTCAAAGGTGAAGCGCCAGATGAACCAAAACAAACACGGAGCCACCAACAGATGTACTTGTTTCATCTGTTGAGTGTTTCAGCATCAATACAGATTTGTTTGTGAAAAATGTGCAGAAGATGAGAACTTTGTGCATTTGTGGACAGGGAAGATGTTTGTGATTTTCTCTCAACTGGATTTAACTAAAGTTGTGACACTTCAACATATCATATTCAAATGTGTGTCATTCCAGATTGAAAATGTGTAGAACTCAATTCACAGTGCAACACATGCTTGTGAAGTACTGGAGAAGTGTGTATTCTGGATCCCAGGCAAACAAAAACCTTTCAGTGACTTCCACATGTATAGAGACATCAAGTCATGAGCTGGGAGAGATCCAATAGTTTATGGTTTTGACAATGTAAACATAGTGACATACCAACAGCTCTGGTGTGTAAATCTGATGTATACAACGCTCATAAAACCAGTGAAAGCACGCAACATTTATGAGTGTGGAGATGTTGTGAAACCTCATTCGCTTGTACTATATCCTATACTTATGATTATGATTCATACAGGGCTGTGAGTGCCAGAGTGTCCTCAGAACATACAGCAGCAATAAAATATGGGAAATACTCAAACACTGGTGAAAAATGCTAAGAAAAAAGAAGAAAATATGAAAATATAGTTTATTTTATAATTGAAAATTTGACTTTTGAGTGGTGCTGTTTTCCATGGAAATGTTATTTTGCCTGTAACGTCCTAGCCTGATTCATCAATTGGTTTCATTTCGTGGAAACCGTCTGACCTCGCAGTATCAAAATTTGTTCGCTCAACAGTACTTTTTTTATTTAACCAATCATTGCTATTTGGTCGTGACGTATGTAATGCACCAAATCCCGTAGGAAGAAGGGCAACAATGTCTTTCTTCTTGTTAAAATTCACCAAACATTCTTTGTTTCAGTTTAAATCCTCGATCTCAGGAATCCAACACAGAATGTCTGTCTTCGTCTACATCCACCTCGACACTTTGTTTACTGTTGTACTTTTCCAGAAAAGGGACCCAGAGAGGTGCTTGAGTTTGACGTCATGGCTTCACAGCTCTTCGCTGACTGGATGGTGTACGGTCTACAACTTCCAGGATTCTTGCAAACCCTCTAGTATATTCTGATTCCTGACCCAGTCGCTGGAGAGAAATGAAATTGAGCATAGGCTGGCGTCAGCTTGGCTAGTAATGCTTCACAGTATGGCATTAAACCTGTCTATCTTGCATTAACTCTATTATAGGTGTATCTTTAAAAAAGGCATATCGTGCTTGTGTCTGCTATACAGTTATAATCTATGACACCAGTGGATCATTATCTTAAATGAAGAAACAAGAGAACAAGAAAAGAAGCAAGTCAGCCTAAAACTGTGAAGCCCAATCAGAGCTGATCACTGTTAATGTCATCACAACAAAGAGGCCTGCAGTTGTTTGCACCTTCGATGGATAGCTGAGTCATGCGAGCACTTTCATTTGTACCAGAATGACTACATGATGATGCAGAATCCCACATCTATAACCAATAAAGAAAATAAAACTGTAGAACAAAGTAAGTACAGAGAAGTGGCCGCTTGCCGTGGATAGTAAAAACAGGAGTTGTTCTGTAATATGGAGTCTTGAAAATGAGCGATTAAAGATGACTCAAACATGCATGAACGACTCCAAATACAACTGTGAGAGACTTAATGAGAAAGGAAAACTACTAGGGATGAAACACACAAGATCTCGCGAGACAAAATTACCCCAAGATCGTACACACAAGAGACAAATGATCTCGTTAGATTTTTTTCCAAGTATTCACATTTGGACAAACATGTCGGCGAGTTACGAATCTTACAGTTCCAGAAAGCAGTACTAGAATAGAAACAAAACTTTGAAATGAAAAAAGTAAAACAAATTGTGAGGCCAAAATTGGAAACTGAACTGAAGTTTATATATTTGGAATTATATTAAAATCTAATCTTGTCTCGTTTTTGTGGACCCAGTCTCGTATCTTGTCTCATCTTATGGGAATTTTATCTGGACCCATCCCCCTTGAAACTTTTATAACGTGATTAAAATCTGTGAAAATCAACTGTTGCATTGTACATCTGCTTTTCTGTTCTGCAGTCTAATTCACCTCTACTATGAGAAAAAACGCAAAACAAAATCATAATTCTTCCAGAGCTTAATAATCATCAAACATCAAATTATTTTTACACAGTGTTTATGTAAATACCTTGTCATCCCCAAATTATAACTTCCTGCAGTTGCTAATGTGTGCACAACAAACTCGAGGAACAACGCCACTTTGTGTAAACACCACGGATATTTACGATCACGTCTACCCCAAATATTATTCAGATTTAGCCCCAATGGTTCCTCCGAGACGCATTATATCGAGCGCGAATACGAAAGCACAAAAGGTCATTGACACAGCGTTCACGATTCAAAAGATATCGCTTTAATGAGGTATGTGAATTAAAGGGGCTGTACCCGACTTTTTTTTTTTTTTCCCCATGTATTTGAACATTTTGTATCTTGCCCTAGTACAGCTATATTGTATAAGCAGCTCTGGAGGTCAAAATAAGTTCACTGTGTACTGTCTGCTTTATTGAATCAGGAAGTGCACAGTTTTAGCATGCTAGTTGTTGTTGTTTTTTAGCTTTGCTATGGCAAACTTCGCTCTGCTGTCTGAAAACGATTTACTATTTTCTACCTATAAATAGCTGTATTATCTGCTGTTTTGTTTGGACCTTGGATTAGTCATTTAAAGCAGCACTGTGTAACTTTTCAGGTGGGGAGTTTGCCAATTTGTTGCCTCCATGGAGATGTTATTGCGAGTCCTTGAATGTTTCACAGTTCGGCGTTAAACTTACCTTTTTTGCATTCGCTTGATAACCGGTGTTTCCATTGTTATATGTGCGCAGACTCGCCTTTCCACAGATCTTCTTGGTCCGGCGGCGTCATCTTGTTTCCACGGAGATATGTAACGTTAATACCAAACGGTGGAACATTCCAAGGGAAACGATAACATGGAGAAAAAGCCACATACTATCACGAAAAAGTACAAATTTTGTTTACTGAGTGTTAAAAAACTCCTAATTAAACTTTTTGAAATCCGTCCAAAGTTATGGTTGAGTTTATTTTATGATCTTGTAGTTGCCATATGAGGGAAGTTTGTGGTCTCCAAGAACTGTGAGTGGAACAATATTTGACCGAGTTTGTAAGCGGATGAAATTTGGATGTAATGGCCCATATTGTGGTATTGGACGAAGACGTGATATGGGAGTGGATAGGAAACTAAATATTGGACCTATCAGTATTGCAATGGTCCTTGAAATCTGGACAAGACAGGCCCAGGAGTCGAAACCACACGTGTACAAAACTCCAGGCATTTGGTTCACTTGTGTCAACTAGCTTAATCGCTTGTATACCAGATGATTGCAGACCGCCATTCACCACAGTGGCAAACTTGTAAATACAGCCCTTCACTGGGATTTTAAGGATGAGACTTGGAGTTGACAAATGTTGTGTGTGTTTAAGTACAACATAATAACGTGGTGGTGATGGTGGTGGCATGTGCCTGGCTCTTGAAATCTAGAACAGAGTTGACTTGGCTTTTGTGACTTGGACTTGAACAAAAGAACTGGACTCAGGGGGAAAATGGAACCGTTCCAGCGTTAAATCAAGTCTAGACCAGCACAAAGCCAGGCCTAAAGCGAGTTATAAACATATCAGTCTCGTGGAACTGTGACACAATTTACTAATTACACTTCATTCAGAGATAATGCAGGTATAAATGACACACAAGTACATAGGACCAGAGCCTGAGTAGAAGCCTACCCCTCTGCAGCGCTCCGGAGAGCGGGGCGAGCGCTGAGGTCTAGTCCGGACTCGGATCGTGTGTGTCAGACCTGAGGCGGCTCTGGAGGCATGCCAGCACCCGCCCCGTGCGCATCCCTCCTCCCTCCCCCCTGCCCCCCCCCTCCTCCCCCCTCCTCCTGCGTCTGAGAGCCAGCGTTCCGGGCTGCGCCTCTGGCACTTTCTTTTTTTAAAGGCAAGCTCAAAGCCACTGCGCTCACTCCACTCCACGCTCAGACGCACACGGACACGGCGGGAGCACATCCCTCACGGAGCACTGACATATCCCCGCGGAGCGCAGGCACAAGCCCCGAGCACGGAGCCGGCGGAGGATCCATGTGACACCTGTGGATGCTGCTAGCGCGCGCCTGATGTGAGGACTCACCGAGAGGATTGATCTGAAAACAGACGCCTTTAATTCTTCCATTACGCATCACAAAGGATCGTGCTGACGCGCGTATAGAGCCTTTATCGCTGTGCGCTGCATAGGAAGGATATACACTGACTGTGATTTTCTCTATAATGCTGCTGTGCGCGTGCGTGCTGCTGCTGCTTGCTGCCGCCTGCGGAGCCTCGTACGTGCCGTGCGAGCCATGCGACCAGAAAGCGCTGTCCTTGTGCCCGCCCGTGCCCGTGGGCTGTCAGCTGGTCAAGGAGCCGGGCTGCGGCTGCTGTCTGACGTGCGCGCTCGAGGAGGGCCAGGCGTGCGGAGTGTACACGGGACCGTGCACGCGCGGGCTCCGCTGCCTGCCCAAGAACGGCGAGGAGAAGCCCCTGCACGCGCTGCTGCACGGCCGCGGCGTGTGCGCCAACGAGAAGTTGTACAAGCAGCGGTACGGAGCCAAAGGTGAGAGCGGAGTGTGCACGTGCATGAACACCCAGGCTGGGGAGGAGAGGACTCTGACACAGGGATGGGTAACGGCACCCTAGGGTGCAAGAGCAGACATCAGTAGGGCTAGTGGGTCACAGAGTGGCATGAAGCTCACACCACTTGCTTTGTTTAGCATGCTCTGATTAGGCCGTGTAGGTGATTTACATAGTCCCGTACAGGTCTGACCTCTCCTAACACTGCTGCTCACATCATTCAAAGAACAAGACTATGGCTCAGTTTAAACTGGAGAACAGCACTGACTCAGTAGAATCAAGTGGAATAAGTTTATTCTTTCAGTGTGTGTAAAGAAGATTTATTAGTGTCAAATGATGTGGTTCATAGTAATACTCGAGTCAGGGTTTAGTCATGCTCCTGTCTACCATCCAGAAGAGCCCCATCTGCAGTGTGTTGCATGAGATATTACTTGCATGTTATCACTGAGTCAGTTTGTAGCTTTGAAATGCAAGAGCACATACTCAGACACCTCATTGTGCAGTGCCATATCAACACAAAGCCCTCTCTCATCTCATATATCAGGCCTTTGTTCAGGGAGAGCTGCACATTCAACTTCATCACTCTTTCTCATTTATACTGTGGGATGATTTTAATGATGCCAACCCAAGTAATAGTAGTAGCCTGGAGTGCTTCAAGTTTACTGTTTATCATATTAGTAGTAGTAGTGGTGGGAGAATTAGTATTATAAGTTGCAGTAAAAGTATTAAGTAGGTTATAGGTGTCATAAGTATTAGCACTATTGTCGGCGAGCAGTTGCATTGCAGTATTTCAGTAGTTAGTAGTAGTAGACATACTGTTCACTATAATATTGCAGGATAGGACCAAAATATCAACACATGCACATGCAGTGGTAGCAGCTGTGGCAGTAAAACATAACAACATTACTATTTACAACTTTCTACTATTACTACCTAAAAACCTAAGGCACAAGGAAATTTGGGATTGAAACTGTAGTGTCATAGTAGTAGTGGTATCTAGTAATCTCATATTTTATCTTCTCTGTTGTGTACTTTTACTACAACTACACTCTTGCACTCGACATAGCACATACCTGTGCGCTGTTCCCTTCAAACGTTCAAAACTTTGAGTTACGGCTTCTTCTGGGACATATTTTCACACTTTGTCATAAACGTTCACTTGGGGAGGTCAAAGGTGAACTATCAGCCGACACCTGTCATTACCCCCGGCACACGACTCCCCTGCCCCTGTCGCGCTGACCCTGCAAACTCCCGTCAGCCGGCCCCATAGAAGAGTACCTGTCATCTGGCTAAATCAGCAGGTTGGATCTTGCCTGCGGGGTGCCTCCAGTTAACATGAAACACACTGGAAGATTATAGGTGCCGCTCCGTAATGGCGTAGGCTCCGTGTTGGCTATGTTCGGGGACAGTCACTTAAGACGCATTCAGGGGGCCTGAGAAAATGCGTGGGGAGCTGGATTTTGGTGCGTGATCAAAGACAACCCCTTTTGCTTTATTAGAGGATGACTGTACCACTTGCTATTATTATTTTTTTCTTTACCAAAGTCTCTGATGTCTGAAATTGCAGCAAGGTGAATAGCGGTTTCTCCGCTCATTGTTGAAAGCACAAGGATTCAATTTTGTGTATTGTAACAATCACTTCGCATGGAATTATTGAACAATACTGGACCAAGTACTGACCCCTGTGGTACACCATATGTAAAGTGGGAACAAGTACATTCTAATATGCAGTATACTGTGGTCAATTGGATCAAAGGTTGCGCTAAGGTCAAACATAAGTAGGATTAGTACAAGTGTTGCAAGAATGGAGGCGCTAATCTAATGTTTTAAGTTATAGAAGACATATTATACTTGTTTTTGCTATGTAGTTTAACCTATGACACCCGTAAATCGTTATGCTGTAATTTGTACATTTTAAATCATAATATTGATTTCAAACAACTTAAAGAAAGAAACAAGTCAATGTAAACATCATCGCAGCAAAGAGTCACAAAGCTGTCGGCCACTCCAATGGATAACTGCACATCACACTACCAAGCAGCAGATTATTTTTTTCATTTGTACCAAAATGTCTACACAATGCTGTCGAATTCTATGTGCGTCACCAATTAAGAACATTTTTAAAAAGTAAGCAGTGGGCGTATGCTGAAATCGGCAGTTGATTGTCAATATGGCATCTTGAAAGCCATTCAGTGTCGCTTAAACATGCATGAATCACTCTAAATACAACTTTGAGAGAGTAAATGAGAAAGTAAACAACTATAAAACAATGAAAAGGCTCTGGAAAGTCATTTTTGCATAATAGGTCTGCTTTAAATCAAGGTAGCATATCTAACAAACTAGCATATTACGTTTTTCTTGGAAGTAAATTTTAATCCATTTCCTAAAGTAAAATTATCACTTTGCATTTGACCTGTACGTTTATCCCACTGAGATTAATACAGTCTGGATTATTATTATTATTGATGCCTGGAATTCACTGGAAAGCTACAGTCTTCAGGAATTGAACCAGGATCCTTTTTGCTGTAAATTCTAACGTTTATGCTTTCATTAAATTATAAAAATTCTAATTGGTCCGAAAAAAGATATGCATTTCCTCATCCAACTATATCATTTCTTTCGCCATATTCCCTGATTGAAAGTTCGAAACATAACCTGATAACCTGGCGTCTCCGTCCGGCCCGTCGACCTCACACTGTCCCGCTCGTCTTTCTTCTCGTCTTTCTCGTCTTTGTCCACTCCTGTCCACACCTCCAAACTCCTCCTCCCTCTCTTCCTCGGACCTGTTCCCAAACCTTTGTGCACAACTCCGGTCTTCTCTGCTTTCCACAGGCTGGCTACTATTCTCAACCCGTCTCCCCATCTGCCTTCTGTCTGTTGGCCTTTTTGCTCAAACTTTGATGGAAACAAAAATACAAGCCTGGGTTTCGTTGAAGATCGAGCCAAAGCCATGTTTTTGTTACTTGCAGAGGAAGGAAGAAGCCTGTATTGAATTAGCTTGAATTTGCTTCTTGAAACATGCAATGTCTTAGTCAAAAATTGGACCGCAACTTGTGTCTGCACTGCCAACCCGAGAAATTTAGAGACTTGTTTCTATATTTTACATCCAAGGACTCCACTTGTGACTATCTTGGACATGTCTCTTTTTAAAGTACAGGTTTTCAGGTTTGGATTTGAACTCTTCTGAATGACTTTGACCATACCTTAACCTCAACGATGTTTGACCCAACACTGAAAGTTTAGCTCTTGTAGATAAAAATTGGACAGAAGAATAGGAGACTGAGTCAACTTAAACTCAAGATGTTTTGGCTTGGAGTAACTTGGACATGTAGAAACTGGCAATCACTTGAAGTGTATAGGAACTTTTTGAGGATCTTTGAACTTAGATTTCCAGTTTCAACAAAAGCGGTAGACCTTTAGTAGTTCGGTTGATTAATTGTTTGATAGAGTCTTAGTCAACCAACATTAACTTATTTTATTTAAATTATAAGGATCTATTTGGGACAACAGTAGATAGAAGAAGTGAGAGCTAACAGAAGATTTGGTATAATTTGGGTTAGGGTTTATTCATAAGTAAAAAGTCAGATTAAACTCATGATTCATAAGATTAAACTGTCTTTATATCAACATTGTTTTGTAATACTTTCTTTCTGCTTAAATAGTGCAGTTTGGGTCCGATACCTATAGATACGTAATCGTTTTTGAGAAGCTTTTGCCACGTCCTCTTTTTAGACGGCCAATCGATCGGCAGGACATCTGTTTAGTCGACCAAAAATTTCTTCAGTCGACTAAGAGCCTGTTTACATGAGAACGCTTGCAGATATAAATGACAAAATATTATTCAGAAATGCATTTCGTTTAGATGGTGATGGCGTTTTTGGGACTTAAAAACACCATCACCTCCTTTTCCAGAGTGGAAAAGTTGAATACTCTCCGCTGTAATGTTTCTGTCTACACTGCCCAAGACGCAAAACTCTGGTCAGATCTGCTCACGTCGCATACGCGTTTACGTAACATACATTAACACCAAGCCGCCTGGCATGCCTACCCAATCGAATTCCACACACTTTTGCATCACTGTATGCACGCAGATTTCCTCCCAAAAACGCTCATCTAAACGCAGAATAAAAAGTGAAGACGCTGCTATTGCATCTTTTGTTCAGACTGTCATCATATAAACGTAGCCTAAAGCCCTAGTTTCAACTATCCTCATCTTGTACCTCCAATAAGATTCAAGATTTTTTTTTTAAGTAACTCAAAATGGGCACGAGTATAATGTCCTATTGATAGTCATTTTAACCAACTGCACCTATAACATCACCTTTTATAAACTGGCCTTTCTTCTTCGCAATCAAAGCCACCAGAGGGCTCCAGGAAGAGACAACAATTTTTGTCACCAAAATGATTTTTACGAACACTCCCTCATGCTGTCTCACTCTTGGTCCACCTACCTAAGAAAAAGTACAGGAACTGAAACGTACTAATACAAGTGAACCAAGAGTGAGACGGTGTGTGGGAGTCTTCTTAAACTCTTCTTTTCAGATAAGTACCTCTCCTCCAGCGCACCTATCTCCCAGTCAGGTGTGCAGAATCTACACAGAAACGTATCGCTAAAATGTATTCAGTATTTATTGCAAGTCATAAAAATGTTGCGTTGAACTGAAGCCTAGGGGATGACATTAAAAAAAAAAAACCTGACATAATTACATTTTAATAACATTCAGTCATTTCTAGAGAGCAGTATTTGTTGTGGAGCCAGTTTTACAGCTGATTCTCTATCTCTTAAAGGTTGTGGTTTGGAGCAAAATTCATATTTTGGAGATTTTTTTAAAAACGCTTTTAAGCTGGCAGTGAAACTTTAAAACCCCCTGAAGGCTCGGGCTGTTACTGCTAATCAGATATCGGAGTTGGCCATGCAAATTACCAAAATATCCCATAATCCTTTCCACTTCAGCTTGATCCTTTCTCCCACCTCTTCCTCTC